CAAGCGTAATGAATGACTGAACTACCAAGACGCGCAATTGCATTTTATCGCTCGGTTTATCCATCTCGGTGTCTCTCGGTTGAGAAGTAGAACTTGCAATTCGGATAACGCTTCGTGACCAATCGTAAGGTCTCGCGCTTCGTTGGGCTATTGCAATGCTCGATGCTCTAAAAGAGCTGCAGGAGAGAACAACAAGGGCCCACGAGTTTGACCGTAGTTTTGTGCCTATTCTTGGCTCTGGGGTGGTCGATTTCTTGACATGCATTGAGCTGCAAGTGCATAGTGTGCTGGGGCGGGGCTGGCGTGGTGCTTCGTCGCCTTCGGGAATTTGACGAGGGAGAGGCTCATGGCAGCGAAGTTTGTTCTCAAGGTGTCTGCGATCGCCTTGATGGTTTTCTCTTGTCTGCCCTCCCCTGCGGCGATGCTTTCGCCGGGGGATATTGTGGTGACCTTGGATGGTATTCCGTCGGCCCGAAATGGGGCAATTTTTAAAGTCGATCCGGTGACGGGTGATCGAACCATTCTTACTGGATTGGGTGTGGGGAGTGGGCCAGATTTCCTAGCGTTCGGGGTTGCCGTGGGGTCGGTGAACGATGTTTATTTCACGGAAGCCAATCTTTCGACCCCGGCTGTGTATCACCTCGACGTAACTACCGGCGAACGAAGAATTATTGCCAGCTCGACCGTTGGATCGGGGCCCGAGATTTATGGTCCGTCGGACATCTTAGTACGGAGCGACGGCAAGCTAATCGTTGCCAGTGTGGGAGACGAGGCATTGTTTCTCCTCGATCCAATCACGCTCGAGCGTACGATACTTTCTGGTTCTGGAGTTGGCAGCGGTCCGGTGTTTAGAGATCCCAATGGCCTGGCTTTCGATGCGAATGGTGACATCATCGCGACCGCCGGGTTGACCACGGGTCCTTCTGGCGTGTTCCGAATTGACAGTTTCAACGGTAACCGCGAGGTGATCTCTCCGTTCCCCGCGCAGATTGATCCTCACTACGCCGATGGTTTGGTTGATGTTGCGGTTGACAGCCAGGGGCGTTATTTCGTCAGCAACCTGGGGGCTTTCACTACGCCGCCTGCCGTATTCGAGATCGACCCCATCACAGGCGAGCGAATCGTTGTCTCGGATGGCGATCGCGGCTCTGGACCCAGTCTGGGAAGGCTGTGGGGGATTGGCGTCGATGCCGAGGATCATATTCTTGTCACCAACTCATTAGCGGGCGAAATCGTCCGGATCGACCCCGTCACAGGCGACCGCGTCTTGGTTTCGAGTTCCGGGGTCGGAGGTGGTCCACAGTTTGCAAATGAGTTACAGCTTATGGATATCGTCCCCGTGCCGGAACCGGCTTCGGTGGTGTTGTTGGTGAGCGGCATGGTACTGCTGATGATTGCGGGTTGTAAGCGATGGCAGCGAGGTTGATCTGGTGTTGTCTGGTCAAAGTTGGGAGTCAAACTGCCAATGTACTTAAACAAGATGAAAGCTTTCTGTGTTTCGGTTGCCGTTGGGTGCAGTTGCGGTCTTGCCTCCGCGGCAACGCTTTCGCCGGGGGATATTGTGGTGGCGACGCTTGGCACTTCGCTGGGAAGTAATGGGGCGATCTTCAAGGTTGATCCCGCGACAGGTGATCGAACCCTACTTGCGGGCACGGGCGTGGGGAATGGCCCCGAGTTTGAGGCCATCGGGATTGCCGTGGGTTCGGTGAACGATATCTACTTTACTGAAGTTGGGTCGAATTCATTTAGTCCCTATGTCTACCACCTCGACGTCGCTTCGGGTGATCGGGAGGTGATTGCAAGTCCGACTGTCGGAACAGGCTACCAACTCAGCTCTCCGGGTGACATTCTGGTGCGGAGCGATGGCAAATTGATCGTTTCCGATGCGCTGAGTGACGCCTTAATCCTCGTCGATCCCGTCACCCTCGAGCGGAGCATTTTCTCTGCCGATGGATACGGTACCGGACCTGAGTTGGAAGGACCCATCGGGATGACCTTTGATGGCAACGGAGACATTATTGTTACCGGGTTCGGGACTGCAGGCACCTCTACTGTATACAAAGTCGACGGTGCGACGGGCGATCGGCAGATCCTGTGGGCGTTTGAAGTAGATCCTAATGATCCAAGCTACATCTTAATTGACGGGGCGCTTAACTCCGCGGGGCATGGTGTGTTTACCAACCTTGGTGCGTTCGCCTCGGCCGCATCTGTCCTCGATATCGACTTCATTACTGGCGAGGGAACGCAACTTTCGGGCCAGGATACAGGCGAGGGGCCAGAACTGGTGACGCTTTTCGGAATTGGCATTGAGGCCGACGGCAATATTGTTCTTACCAACAACGATCCCTTCGCAGGAGAAAATACACTCGTCCGCATCGACCCCATCACGGGCGATCGTGTCGTGGTATCGGGGCCTGGGGTTGGAAGCGGGCCGCTGTTCGCGGGAGACCTGCAACTTCTGGATATTGTCCCCGTGCCGGAACCGGCTTCGGTGGTGTTGTTGGTGAGCGGGATATTCTTTTTGCTGTTGACCCGTCGACTTGGGTTTCGCGGGTAATGCAGCAGTTGCTCTCCGGGTTTCGTGCGTGCAAGCACACTACGGTTAGCCCACGTCCACCAGGTCTAGCGCCTCTCCGTACCGGTTCATGACAAGTTGGCGTAGGCGGGCGTGTTCGGGGTGGGTGAGGTCGGGGTCGCTTTCGATCAGGGCGATGGCGGCGGTGCGGGCTTGGGTGAGGATGTTGGCGTCGCGGGCGAGGTCGGCGATGCGGAGCGGTGGGAGACCATGTTGGCGGGTACCGAGTATTTCGCCGGGGCCGCGGAGTTCGAAGTCGATTTCGGCCAGCTTGAAGCCGTCGGTGTTGTCGACGAAGGCGGCCAGTCGGCGTTCGGCGTCTTCGGTCGTGGGGTTGGCGAACACGGCGCAGAAGCCGGGGCTGGTGCCGCGATTCACCCGACCACGGAGTTGGTGCAGTTGGGCCAGGCCGAAACGTTCGGCGCCTTCGATGGTCATCAGCGTGGCGTTGGGGACATCGACACCGACTTCGATAACGGTGGTGGCTACGAGGACTTGTGCCCTGGCGTTGCGGAAGTCGGCCATCACGGCTTCCTTTTCGGCCGTGGGCATACGGCCGTGCAGCATCGCCAGGCGGAAGGCCTCCAGCGGGCCGTTGGCCAGCGATTCGTAGAGGGCTTCGATGCTGGCCACTTCGCTTTGGTCCGACTCTTCGACCAGCGGGGCGACGACGAAGGCTTGTCGGCCTTCGTTCAGTTTGCGGCCGACGAAGTTCCACCACTGCTCGCGCTTGTCGTCGGTGACAAGGTAGGTATGCACGCCCGGGCGTCCTGGTGGGGCTTCGCGAAGTGTGGAGACGTCGAGATCGCCGAAGAGCGTCATGGCCACCGTGCGGGGAATGGGGGTAGCTGTCATGACCAGGTAGTGCGGGTCCAGCGATGATTGTTTCAACCGGGCCCGCTGGCGAACGCCGAACTTGTGTTGCTCGTCGATGACGACCAGCCCCAGCTTGGCGAAACGAACGTTGTCCTGCACCACGGCCTGTGTGCCGACAATGATGTCGACCTCGCCCGCGGCAATGCGCTCGAGGTTCTTTTGACGTTCGCTGGCCGTGAGCGAACCGACCAACAACGCCACGCGAACTTTACTGGCGGAAAGCGCCTGCGTGAGTGTGAGGGCATGCTGTCGGGCGAGCACCTCGGTGGGGGCCATCAGCACGGCTTGATGACCGTGCGCGACGGTGACCAACATGGCGTAGAGGGCGACCACGGTTTTGCCAGAGCCGACGTCGCCCTGCAGGAGGCGATTCATCGGGTGGTTGCGGGCCATGTCGGCGTTGATCTCGCGAATGGCCTGCTGCTGGTCGCCGGTGAGGGTGAACGGGAAGCGGCGACGGATGCGGGCGTCGATCTTGGCGGTGGTCTCCAGCGGCGGGGCTTTGCGGCCGGAGTGAATTTGCATTCGCTTCATGGCCACCGCGAGCTGTAGCGTGAGCAGTTCCTGATAGATGAACCGGTGCCGTGCCCTTTCGAGCATTTCGCGTGACTCGGGGAAGTGGATTTGTGCCAGGGCTTCGTGTACGCCGAGCAGGTTGTGCTCGGTGAGAAACGCCTCGGGCAGGGCTTCGGGCACTTCGGCGGCCGCCAGCTCGAGGGCCTGTTTGACGCCGCGGCGAACGTCGTGCTGGCGAAGACCTTCGGTCAGTGGGTAGACGGCCACGAGTTTGCCGGTTACCTCGGCCGGGTCTTCCTCGTCGTCGATCCACTCGACGCGAGGGTGCGTCATTTCCCAGCGGTTGGAGGTGAGTTTGGGCTTGCCGGAGAACATCACCTTTTGTCCGGCGGCGAAGCGGTGAAACATGTGCGGTTGGTTGAACCAAATACCGCGGAGGTAGCCGTGCTCGTCGCGGATCATTACGCCTACCATCGAGCGTCCGCCGCGAAGCCTGCGAGAGTCGACATCTTCGACCACGCCCGTGACGCTGACCAGCTTGTTGTCTTCCAGGTCGGCGGTGGTGCAGACGTCGGTCAGGTCTTGGTAGTCGCGAGGGAAAAGGAACAGCAAGTCGCCGGCATAGCGAACTCCCAGGCGAGCAAAGGGTTCGGCCCTTTGCGGCCCGACACCTTTGACGAATTGAACGGGTGTTGAGAGCGCTTCGCCCTCGCGATGGGGTGGTTCGTGCGATTGTTGGCCGGGATCGGGGTGCATGACGCCAGTTTAACGGTCGGCGGGGAAACTGGCGATTGAGGGAGAGGTGACTAAACGATTGTCTGCTTGGGTCGGTGAGAGTGGGTGCCACTGCTGGCTTGTCCAGCAGTGAGGAGTATAGGTGGGTATGTTTTTACCCAACCGATTGAATCACCATTACAATGCTCTCTCAAGAACGATGGTTTCAGGCACTCGTTCAGCACTGCTGGGCAAGCCAGCAGTGGCACCCCGAGGGGACATCGAGATCCGGTGCTACCCGATTATGTGTGATCGGTTCTTACCGATACTTTTGGCAGGCGGCTACGGCTAGTTCGTCGCAGCGTTCGTTTTCGGGGTGGCCGCTGTGTCCGCGGACGGGGGTGTAGGTGATGGTGTGGGTGGTGATGAGTTCGTCGAGGCGGCGCCACAGGTCTTCGTTCTTGACGGGTGCCCAGCGTTTGCCTTCTTTGCGACGCCAGCCGTTGGATTTCCACTTGGCCATCCATTGGGTGAGCCCTTTGCCGACGTAGGTACTGTCAGTGAGTAGCTCGACACTGGAGGGCCGCTTGAGGGCTTCGAGCCCCTGGACGACGGCCGTGAGTTCCATGCGGTTGTTGGTGGTGTCGCCCTCGCCGCCAGAGCTTTCCATTTCTTTGCCTGAGGAGGCGTGACGCAGGATGAAGGCCCAACCGCCGGGGCCGGGGTTGCCGCTGCACGCACCATCGGTGAAAAGTTGGACTTCGGTCACCCCAGAGTCATTGTTCGACATCAAGTTCGCAGCAAATACGAGAAGCGATACGGCAGGAGAGCTTAGTTAGCTGGTCGAGGCCGCGTCGGGGAAGTTAGAAGATGCATGGTGTCCGTCGGTGACGTCACGCACTTGTTGTAACGCTTCGAGCGCCGTCGGCAATGGGGCCTCGAGCCGCGGCTGGCTCGTAAGGTGCATGGGTAGCCGGATGGTGAAGCAGCTCCCCTTGCCCAACTCGCTGGTGAGTGTAACTTCGCCGTCCAGCAAACGACATAGTTCTTTCACGATGGAAAGACCCAAGCCAGTGCCGGAGTATTCGCGGGTCATCGCATCGCCACCGGCCAGCACGGTGTTGCCCTGACGGAACTTCTCGAAGATGGTTTCTTGATCTTCTTCCGAGATGCCGACACCGGTGTCTTCGACTGTGAGCAGCAAGTCGCCTTCGGGGCTGCGTTTGGCAGCCACTTCGATGCGGCCCCCTTCGGGAGTGAACTTGATGGCGTTCGAGAGCAGGTTGTTGAGGATCTGCTGCACCTTGCCCTGATCTTGGTGGATCTCGGGCAGGTTGGGTTCGACGCGGGTTTCGAGATCGATGTTCTTCTTCTCGGTCAACGGACGGGCCATGTCGCACTGGGCGTTGACCACATGTTCGATGCGGAAGTCGTTCAGGCGGATGTCCATCTTGCCGCTCTCGATCTTGGCCAGGTCGAGAATGTCGTTGATCAACTCCAGCAGCATCTTGCCCGACTTCTGGATGTTCTGCACGTAGCGTTTCTGGCGCTCTTCGAGCTTGTCGTTTCCGCTGAGTACGTCGCTGAAGCCGATGATGCTGTTCAGTGGGGTTCGCAGTTCGTGGCTCATGGTGGCCAGGAAGTCACTCTTGAGGCGGTTCAATTCGAACAACTGCAAGTTCACCTGGGCCAGTTGATCGACTTTAGCGTCGAGATCGGTGTTCACGAGCCGCAGCTCTTCCTGGGTATCGACCAAGTGGCGCAACATGCGATTGAACGCGACGGCCAACTGTTCGAATTCGTCGCCGGTGTGGATTTCGGCTCGCAGGTTGTGGTTACCGTGACTAATGGCATCGCTCACATGCCGCAAGTGCTGCAGGGGTTTGACAATCACATAGCGGACGATGACGTAGGCCGCGATCATGGCCAGGAAGACAGTGATGATGGCCGTGGCCAGCAGGATGGCCCGATTGCGATTCAGGTCGGCCTGCGTGGTGGCCGTGGGGATGCTCACCTGGACGATCCGTAACAGGTCGCCCTCCACCAGGTCGGGGTTGGGATCCATCCCGCGATGGCAATACACACAGTGGCTTGTCGCGCGCACGGCTTGATAGTAGAGGTACTCGCTACCGTCGGCACTGGAGCGGGCGGCCCATTCGGGTTCGTCGCCGGGCATCTGCAGTTGGCCGGCGGCTCCTTCTTTGACCGAGGCGTTGCCGGCCACGAACCGCTTCATTAGGTCCCATTCCCACTCGTCGAGCGGGACTTCGTCTGAGCGATGATTGCCGGGGTTGCTCGAAGGCGGGCGGATCGAACGGCTTTTGTAGTCTTGCTGTTCCAGGCGGCGGTCGATTTCTTGGGTGAAGAACTGGGCGTCTTCATCGTCGGGCTGAAGGCCGATCTCTTCCCAGTGCGACTTCACCAACACCTGGTCGACCAGCAATTGGCCCTTGTAGTAGTTCTGCTTGTAGACGAGCCGCTCGGTTTCCTGGCCATACCACCAGAAGCTGCCGGTGATGAGCAGCAGCAGACAGGCCCCGAACAAGAAGCGGCATTTCCGCTCCAAGCTCGACTCGCCCAGCACGCGTTTGAAGGACCGATAGGACATCGATAACCCAAGAAACCACAAGAATTCCCTAATTTGTGCATTGTACGGGGATGGCGAAAGGCCGTCCAAGAGCAATCTGGCGGGGGATTGGAGGTTTCAGCCCGGTTGGTGATATTGAGTAAGCAGATATCGATGTGATTGGATCCGCGACAACAAGTTCAAAACAGCGAGGAAATCATGGATCGGCCGCTTGAGGGGAAACGGGTGTTGGTGTTTGTGGGGGATATCTACGAGGACTTGGAGTTGTGGTATCCGAAGCTGCGGTTGATCGAGGCGGGGGCCGAGGTGGTGGTCGCTGGGCCGGAAGCCGGAAAGCAGTACGCGGGGAAGAACGGATACCCTTGCGTTTCGGATGCGGCGATTGCTGAAGTAACGCCGGAGGAATTCGACGGGCTTGTAGTGCCGGGAGGGTTCATGCCGGATAAGTTGCGGCGCGATCCGAAGGTTCTGGAGATTACGCAGCATTTTCACACCGCGGGAAAGCTGCTGGCGGCGGTTTGTCACGGCGGATGGATTCCGATTTCGGCCGGTGTGTACAAAGGCGTGCGGGTAACGGGCTCGCCGGGGATTAAAGACGACCTGATCAACGCTGGGGCGATTTGGGAGGATGCTCCCGTGGTGATCGACCGGCATTTTGTGAGCAGCCGCAAGCCGGACGATCTGCCGGAGTTTTGTCGGGGAATTCTGCAAGTGATGGCGGGGTGAGGGGTGTTGACTCGCAGACCAAGGCACGCTCCCCTGCCCTACTTGCATCTGGCCTGGGCGGTGCCTAGCCTTAGGCCAGTGGGTTTTGCTTGGCTGAGTGCCGGGTGAGCCCAGCTCTTGGAACCTGCCTGATTGTCATTCCCGCCTTGCGCCCCGCGGCGCCGTTTGCGATTTCATTGGTTGAAGGGATCGAACTCGATGCATATTTGCCGGTCTTTCTGGGGCATCGCCCTGCTCTGTTTTTCGATGTTGTTGATTACGCCCGTGGCGTTTGCGGCCGAGACGCAGGAAGCCACGGGGGTGGTGTTCGAAGATGCGAACAAGAACCAGAAGTTTGACGAAGGGGAAAAGCCGCTGGCGGGGATGCGGGTTTCCAACGGACGCGAGATTACGAAGACCGATGAACAGGGGCGTTACAAGCTGCCGGTGGATGACGACACGATTCTGTTTGTGGTGAAGCCGCGGGGTTGGATCTCGCCGGTGAGCGAGGATCAACTGCCGCAGTTCTATTACATCCATAAGCCTGAGGGCTCGCCCAAGACTCACTTCCCTGGCGTGGCCCCGACGGGTCCGCTGCCGGACTCGGTGGATTTCCCCTTGTATAAGCAGGAAGAGCCCGAGTTGTTTCAGGCGATCATCTTTGGCGACACGCAGCCGCGGAACCAGCAGGAAGTCGATTACATTGCCCACGACGTGGTGGAAGAGCTGATTGGCACGACGAATGCCAAGATGGGCATCACGCTGGGGGACATTACGTTCGACAACCTTGAGCTGTTCGGCCCACTGAATCGCACAATCGGGCTGATCGGTATCCCGTGGTTCAACGTGATTGGTAACCACGATGTCAACCGTGATGCCGAAGATGACGAGCACTCGGATGAAACGTTCGAAAGTGTGTACGGCCCTTCGTACTACAGCTTCGATTGGGGCCCTGTGCACTTCTTGGTGTTGGACGATATTCGTTGGGTGGTCGAGGGCGACAAGCGGCATTACGAAGGTGGTCTCGGCGAGACGCAGATGGAGTTCATCCGCAACGACCTGGCCATGATTCCTGAAGATCAACTCGTGGTGTTATGCATGCACATCCCATTGGTTGACGTGGAAGACCGACACGATTTGTACCGGCTGATCGAGAAGCGGCCGTTCTGCATGTCGCTTTCGGCCCATACTCACTATCACGAGCACAAGCTGATCTCCTCAGACGACGGATGGTTGGGGGCTGAGCCGCATCATCACGTGATTAATGTGACGGTTTGCGGCAGTTGGTGGAGTGGACATCCGGACGAGAATGGAATCCCTCACACCACCATGCGGGATGGAGCCCCCAACGGGTACTCGATTATCACGTTCGACGGACATCATTACTCGCTGGAGTTCAAGGCGGCCCGACGTCCGCGGGATCATCAGATGAACATCATTGCTCCCGAAGTTGTTTCGGCCGATGCTTTGGGTGATACGTTCGTTTATGCGAACGTGTTCAACGCCCTTCCCGACGCGAAGGTAGAAATGCAGTTGGGTGAGGGAGGCAAGTGGACCACACTGGAACACTTCGTGAGTGAAGACCCCTTGTATCTGGAAATGGTTGCTGAAGAGAAGAAGCTCGAGAACAAGAGTTTTCGCGACTTGCCGGGTGCCCATAAGACGGCGCATTTATGGCGTGGCCGACTGCCTTCGAACGCGAAGGCCGGAACGTATCTGATTCAGGTGCGGGCCATCGATACGCACGCCCATCATCACGCGGGCGGCGATCACGATCATGCGGAAGAGGATTCCGATCACGAGCATACGCACCAGCACGTGTATCGCGGGAAGCGAATCATTCGTATTGAAAAACCGGCAGGCAAATAAACGGGCTGAGCAAGCCCAAGAGCTCCGCAGTACAACGAAAGTCAAGCAATGAGGTTCGACTGGGGCTACGTGCTGGGGGGAGCGGCGATCTTCGTCGTGTCGGCCGTTGTCAGCCTGGCGTTGGTGGTGATCGTGGTCGTGGGTCTACCACGCGATTATTTTCTGGATCGTCCCGGGCGAGGGTTGTGGGTCGACCGGCATCCGGTGGTGCGCGTCGGGCTGCACGTGTTGAAGAATCTGGCCGGGTTGTGTTTGATCGTGGCTGGAATCATGCTTTCGCTGCCGGGCATTCCGGGTCAGGGGCTGCTCACGGTTTTCGTGGGTATTCTCCTGCTCGACTTTCCTGGCAAGCAGAAATTCATGCGGAAGCTGGTCAGCCGCCCTAAGGTTTTCGCCACGTTGAATCAAATCCGTGCGCGATTTGGCAAACGCCCGCTGCGATTGCACTAGCGAAAGGAAAGGGAGCAACTTCTATGGTAGAGAATACGGATAATATCGTTCGGGCGAGAGCCTATCTACAAGATATTGAAGCAGGCAAGACTGGTGAAGAGTTGGCCATTCACTTCGACGCGGATGTGGTGCAGGAAGAATTTCCCAATGCACTATCACCGCAGTATGTGAAGCGGGACCTGAAGGCGATTCTGGAGGGTGCGGAACGTGGGAAGCAACTGCTGAGTGGCCAGCGTTACGATGTGCAAACGGCCATCGCCTCGGGTGAGCATGTTGCGCTGGAAGTTTTATGGACCGGAACGTTGGCGGTTCCGGTGGCCAACCTGGCTGCCGGAGATGAGATGAAGGCCAACTTCGCCGTGTTCCTTGAGTTTCGCGACGGCAAGATCATTCGCCAACGCAATTACGATTGCTTTGAACCGTTCACGTCGTGACGCCGAATTACAGCATGCTCTCTGGATCGACGTCGGCGATCCACTGAATGTCGTCGGGGGACCGAGTCTTTTCTTTGAGTTGTTGCAAGGCAATACGCAATAGCTCCCCGTCGCGGGCATGCATGTGGATTTGGAAGCGGAACTTGCCGCGAAGTTTGCCGATGGGTGCCGGGGCCGGGCCGAGGATGCGGGGGATGTCTTCTTCGCTGGAGCCTTTCAGGGCGGCGATATCGCTGCGGAGGGTATCGGCCAGGTGCTCGGCAAACGTTTCGGTGGCATCTTCCCCAGGGCCGCGGATGATGATTCGCGTCATGCTGCCGAACGGCGGATAGCCGAACTCCTGGCGGTGGGGCAGTTCGTAGTCGGCAAACTTCTTAAAGTGGTGATGCACGGCGGCTTGGATGGCCGGATGATCGGGATCGAACGTCTGCACCATCACCCGACCGCCACGATCCCCACGGCCCGTGCGGCCGGCGACTTGAACGAGTAGCTGGAACGTGCGTTCGGCCGCGCGAAAGTCGGGCAGGTGCAATGCGGTGTCGGCGTTCACTACCCCGACCAGTGTGACGTTGGGGAAGTCGAGGCCCTTGGCGATCATCTGGGTGCCCAGCAGGATGCGAGTTTCGCCTTCGCGAAAGGAAGCCAACGCGCGTTCGTGGCTGCCGGGCTTCTGCATGGTGTCGGTATCCATACGAATGCATGGATAGTCGGCGAAGCGTGCCCGAACTTCGGCCTCGAGCCGCTGGGTGCCGGTACCTCCGTAGCGAATGCCGGGCGAGTTGCACTTAGGGCAATGTGAGGGAGCCGGTTGGCTGTAATCGCAATAGTGACACAATGCGATTTCTACCTTGCGATGGTGCGTGAGCGCGATGTCGCAATGGGGGCAGTTCAGCACCTCGCCACACTCCGTGCACTGAATGTGGGTCGAAAATCCTCGCCGGTTGAGCAAGAGGATGACTTGCCCGCCGTCTTGCAGAGCCTGGCTCATTTGTGTGCGGAGCGAGCGGCTTAGCACTCCCCGCGACGAGCGTTTCTCTTGCTCGTTCCGCATGTCGATGGTCACGACCGCCGGCATAGGGCGATCGTAGATGCGACCGGGGAGATCGATGTATTGATACTCGCCGCTGTTGGCCCTTTGCCACGACTCGAGTGACGGTGTGGCCGACCCCAGCACCAGCGGAACGCTTTCGTCCATGGCCCTGCGTCGCGCGACTTCGCGAGCATGGTACCGTGGGGGAGATTCTTGCTTGAACGAAGTTTCGTGTTCTTCATCCACCACGATCAGCCCCAGGTGTGGAGCCGGTGCGAAGACGGCACTTCTCGCCCCGACAATCACTTGCACGGCTCCAGCGGCGATCTTGCGCCAATGATGGTGGCGTTCGGAGTCGCTCATGTGGCTGTGCAGTACGGCCACGTTATCGAATCGCTCTCGGAAGCGGGCCCTGGTTTGCGGGGTGAGGCTGATTTCGGGCACGAGCACGATGGCTTGTCGACCGAATGAAACGACTTCTTGAATGGCGCGAATGTAGACTTCGGTCTTGCCGCTGCCGGTGACGCCATGCAGCAGGATGGTGTGATGCTCGCGGGAGTTGATGGCGGTTTCGATCGCGGTGAGGGCCCGTTGCTGATCGTCGTTGAGTTCCAGATCGGTACGGCGCTCGGCGGCTGGTTCTGAAGTGGTTGTCGAGCGAACGCGTTGGCTACGGGCTTCGATCAGGCCCTTTTTCCGCAAGGCGTTGATGGGGGCCAGCGTGCACTTGGCATAGCGGGCCAGCTCAACCGCCGTGAGTGGCTTTTCGGCGGCGGCCAGACAGGTTAGGGCGTGGGCTTGCTTTTGGGGAAGTTCGAGCTGGGTGAGACGGGCTGCGACTTTGGTGGGAACGCTGAGCAGCGTGACATTGCGAGTGCCTGCTTTCGAGCGCACGCCCGCGGGCACCACGGCTTCGAGCACCTGGCCCCAGGGGCAGAGATAGTGATCGGCAATCCAATGCGTGAGCCGCAGCATGGCGGGGGAGAGCAAGTCGAGGTCATCGACCACCCCGGAGATGTCTTTTAATTTGCGGCGCTCATCTTCGCGATGTTCGACGGCCACACAGTAGCCCACTAAGGGGCGATTTCCCCGCCCTAGCGGTGCACGAACTCGACGGCCGGGCCGAAGTGTTTCGCGTAGCTTCTCAGGCACTCCGTAATCGAACACCTGTTCGGGACCTTCGCAGAACACGACGCTGGCTACCAACTGCGCGCGAGCGTCGTCTTGCTCCCAGGCTGGGGGCAGCGAGTCGAACAAGTTTTGTTGGCGGTCGGTCACGGGAAGATACGTGTCGCTATGTGGGCCGCGGTAGTCAGTCGCGGGGTTTATCGAGTAGGATAGTCAGCGCGTGCAATATCATTCGTTTTCTCTAGTCCTGCAAGCAGGCCGATCAAGCGTATGCGGTTGGGAATCTTCGGAGGCACCTTCGATCCGGTGCACTATGGCCATTTGTTGCTGGCCGAGTGCTGTCGCGAGCAAGCCCAGTTGGACGAAGTGTGGTTTGTCCCGGCGGCGATTGCTCCCCATAAGAGCGACCGCCCCCCTACCCCACCTGCCGCACGGGTGGAAATGCTCGAGTTGGCGATCGGAGGAAACGAGCAGTTCAGCTTGTGTCTGATTGAGGTCGAGCACAAAGGTGTTAACTTCACCGTCGACACGCTGAAGGAAATCAATGCCGCGCAGCCCGAGAGCGAACTGTTCTTCTTGATGGGGGCCGACTCGCTGGTCGATTTGCCAACCTGGCGCGATCCGGAGGGAATTTGTGAGTTGGCCACACCGCTGGTGGTTGCCCGACCGGGATCGGCCGCGCCGGATTTCGATTGCCTGAAAGAGATTGTCTCGCCCGAGCGGCTGGCGGTGATGCGAGATTCGGTGGTGGAAATGCCACTGATGGGAATAAGCAGCACTGAGATCCGCACGCGAGCCGCACGGGGGCAAAGCATTCGCTACCGCACCCCTGCGGCCGTGGCCACTTACATTGAGAACGCCGAGTTGTACCGAGACAGCTTGAGCCCGGCGTAGGAAGAGGCGTTCCTTCACGCGAGACTTTGTCTTCTACTGGTACTTCCGCCCCTCAGGCTTCTTGGGTTCGATTTGCGGGCGAGGCGGCGTGTGGGCTTCGTCGAGATAGCCGGTGAGTTTCGCGGTGATTTTTGGTCGCTTGGCGGCGAGGTTGTTTTGCTCGCCGGGGTCTTTCTCCAGGTTGTAGAGTTCAACATCTTTCTTGGGCTTCCAGCGAATGGCTTTCCACTTGCCCGCGCGCACGGCCCTGGCGCCATCGTCTTCCCAGTAGAGATATTTGTGTTGGGGTTGCTCCTCGGTGTTGGAAGCCAGCAGCGTGGGGGCGATTGAGATGCCGTCGATGCCTTCGGGTGCTTTGGTGCCGGCTAGCGTGGCGAGCGTGGGCATGATGTCGGCGAAGTAGCCAACCTGGTCGGAAGTTTCGCCCGCGGGCACATGACCGGGCCAGCGAACGACCATCGGTACCCTAAGACCACCTTCCCACAGCGAACCTTTGTAACCGCGGAACTCACCGCAGGCATTGAAGAAATCGGGATCGCTGGCCCCCGGGGTCGCACCATTGTCGCTGGTGAAGAAGACGATGGTGTTGTCGGCCAGGTCGAGTTCTGCCAACAGCGAAAGAAGACGGCCCACGCTCCGATCCATGCGCGAGATCATCGCGGCGGTGGCGGCTTTGGGCATGGCTTGCTGGGCGTAGTCGTGAGGGTAGCCGGCGCGACTCCCGCGACCGACGTAAGGGGTTTCCGGAAACTTACCGGCGTACTGCGAGAGTGAATCTTCCGGGACCAGCAACTCGTAGTGCGGTACGGCGAAGGGCACGTACAGAAAGAATTGCTCGTCTTGGTTGCGACGTACGAAATCGAGGGCTTTGCTGACAATCTCGTCGTGCGTGTATTGTTCCTGGCCGCCGTCTGCATTGCCGGGCAAGGGGTAACGCTCGTCGTTGTGCCAAAGGTATTCCGGGTAATAGAAATGGGCGTGAATCTGGTGCAGGTAGCCAAAGAACTCGTCGAAGCCTTGCTTGTATGGCACGCCAGGTGTGCCGTGTTCGCCGAGCCCCCACTTGCCGAACAGTCCCGTGGTATAGCCGGCGTCGTGTAGCACTTCGGCCACCGTTAAGTCCTCGTCGGCCAAGGGGATGCCTCCGGAGTTGCCTCGCACTGGGGTGTGTCCCGTGTGGTAACCGGTCATCAGCACGCTGCGTGAGGGCGCGCACACACAATTGCCGGCGTAGAAGTTGGTGAACCGGAGGCCTTCGGCGGCCAGTTGATCGAGGTTCGGTGTGGTGAACTTCGTTTGACCGTAGCAACCCAAGTGCGCGTAGCCCAAGTCGTCGGCCATGATGTAGATGATGTTTGGCCGCTCGGGTGAGGCTGCTTTCGCTGGGACGGGAGAGAGAATCGCAAAGCTGGCCAACAGTGTGGCGATGAAGGTGAACATTGATCGTCGAGGCATTTTGTTGGGTAACCGTCGTTCGAGGACGAAAGGGGCACGATCTGGTTGGCCCCAGTGTA